GTTTAGGCCCCAGAGGCCACATCTGAAGACCTGAAGCAAAGCAGCTGCTGCTCTCAGGGGTTCCGTGCCCCAGGGAGATGTGCTGAGCTCTGCAGAAGCTGCTCCAGCATCTGCACTCTGATAGGAAAGACCCAGCCTGCTCCTGAGCTGCTGCCTTCTCGCTGCCACCCCTCACACCCACTTCTGTCATGTCTGCAAGGAGCTCTGTGCGTGTCCCACTTACCAGATGTAGAAGAAAAGCACAAACACTGGAGCAGATCCTGCAATCTCCAGCAGCCTCCAGTTGCGAATACCATAACTCAAGCCAGCCAAAATCATCTGTCCGATGGCAACAAAGCAGTGAGAAATAAGCACTGCCTTTGGCCGGGAGGAGGTACCAACCCATTCTGTAGCTGAGAAGAAGAATGAAGGCTTAGGGTCTCCCTTTTCAAAACATGCAGGGCTATCTTTTGTTATTGCAGCTTGTGTGGCCACATTTGTTTGCCTTAGGGCAAGGGCATCCTACTTACCCAAGGCCAAGGCAGTAATCAGAATTCCTGACACGGAAGCCCCCACAACACATCTGAAGGCCATGTACACATAGAAATGGGGCACAAAGGCAACTCCTACACCAAACAAACCTTGGAGGAGGATGGAGATCAGAAAGATTGGCCGACGGCCTACTCTGTGGAGGAAGAGGGAAGACACAGTTGGTATCTGGAAAAACCCTGGATGGGGAGAAGCCCATGTGGAATACAAAGTGATCTCAGAACCATTCACACCAGAGGAGATTTGACATCCATGTGAACAAAGCTCCTCTATATATCCCAGGAAGTAACCATTAGGAAAGCAGCATCTCCACTTTTGACCTGTCACAGCGCTAGCAAAGGAAAAAGGAGATGCTGCTAAAGCAGCAGGCCCTTGAAAGGCCCCCATGTCCCCTCTCTTGAGAGCAGTGAGGATCAGACTGAAATGGACTGTAGTGCTGTTTCCCCTGTGAAACACCCTGTACACATGCTGTGCCCTTCTCCTTTCCATTTCCCCTGTTTGTCCATGTCCTCTAGGGAGCTGAGGACTTTGGTCCTGGACACCATGAGCTGAGAAGAGATTCAGGAAGAAGGGACACATGATCTGGTCAACACAGCTGAAGGTCAGTCCAACTCTGTGCCCAAATGTAGGTATCTGGGGTTCCTGGGGGTCCCTTGGGTAGCTGAGACACCAGTTTGGTGTAGACCTGTGATTCCTGAAGAACCCCCTATATAAGGCTGTATCTGCATCCTGCTGTTTTTAACCCTCAGACATCTACAGACTTGTCAAATGGCCCCAGATGCCCTCGTTCAGGCAAGAGGATCAAGTTCTGCAGAGAGAGTATTTTGTGCTCCGTGCATGGATATCCTGAACTCTTAGTTGGGCTGTCCCTGCATGCTGAACAATAACTCTGTGAAGGTGACTGTGTTTTCTTACCTGTCACTTAGTGGCCCAAAGATCATAGCTCCTAGGAGAAGGCCCACCATGTAGATGGACTGGGAGATGTCATTCAGGTCCTTCCTGTCACACACCAGGTCAAACTGGAGGAAGGAAACACAGACTTTTTTTTTTCTCAACAGACCCCAGATGCTTTCTGAGGGTGGGCAACCCTTCTGGTCCATGGTAGACTCAGGAGATTGGTGCCTGAACTCATTCCAGACCCTGGGAGCAGAAAACCCACCCCCAAGGACATGAGCCTCCATGGTCTGCACATAGGACACAAGTCAGAGGTGGGACAGGCGTATATAGTTCTCAGCCTGCTCCTTCATTATGGTGCACATCTCCCAAGTGCTGGAACCCACAGGACTGCCCTCCAGGTCAAACATCCCCAAGGGACCCTCCAGGTTGGCAAGTTTTGCTTGAAGTGGGACCTTGGGATAAAAGTCCTAGCAGCTTGCTTCTCTGGCTGCAAAGGCAGGACAGGGTGGAAGGAGGAGGAGAACAGGAGAGTAATGTTTTCTCTGGTAAAGGAGGATTGGTGTATGAGTGGGAAGGGATGCAGCAGATGTTGAGGAGCCTTTAGAGAAGCTGGCTGTGGAATGGATGCAGTCCTCCAGGAACCCCAAGGAACCTTTGCAGATGCCAGAGGCTGGACTCTCTCCTCTGATTTCAGCTGAGAGAAAGGTATTCATAAGAAAGTCCTGGAGCTTGGAGTGAGGAAAGGAGAGAGGGAGGGAAGAGGAAAGGAGGAATGAGGGAAGGTTAGAGAGGAACAGAGGTCCAGAGAGAGGATGCTGACAGACAGAGCCTTTGCTCAACTGCATGGCCCATAGAATGTCTTGTTGCAGCCCCGAAGGTCTTTGAAGACCCCGGAAATATCAATGACAAGCCCTTGGAAGGTAAATGTCTTTCACAGAGAAAGTGATGTGAGGAGAACCAGGCTGAAGAATAAGGGAAATTGTGGCAGTGAGACCCAAAAGGTCCCTCCAGGTAAGATACATCATGGGTTCAAGGGCCTAGATACCGGAAAGGGGAGGAATGGTGGGCAGAGCGTGTGCTGGACTAACACCCCCACCATCTCTGTGTGTGCCCCCCTGGACATCTCCATCATGGTCTTCCTGCAACAACCTCACAAGGATTACAGCTGCAATCCATGTGGTGGAACCCCGAGGTCTCCCAGTGCCTGATGTAAACTTCAGCCTGACTGCCCAACGGCTGGCATTGGCTTACCAAATTACAGAACAGGATATGCCCATCCTTTCCCTTCCATGTCCCTGGCATGTCAAAAGGCGATTACAGACCTCAGTCAGCAGGGACGGTGGTTGTGCTGAAGAGTACACCCAGCCATTGCTGCATTTCTCTGTAGCGTTCAGGCCATACGCCACAATGGAGCCAAGATCCCAGTCCACTGGTGAGTACATGTAGCACTGCTCATAGGCCCCGTCCACATCTCGGGGCAGTGTGAGGTTCAGCTGCTCTTCCTCCGTCAGGTTCGGGCCGATAGCAAGGATCCAGCTGGTGTCACAGTGGTGAGGCACATCCACAACCATGAACACTTGGCCAATCATTTGGAAAGGATTAAGAAGTAGTGGGAGGGAGAGGAACAGTACCAGCAGTTTCTGATATAGTCCAAATTCCCCCAGAGCTCTTATAAAATCGCCAAACTCAGCCATGGTGACTACCACTATGGCCAGGCTGCACTAGGGCACATTGCTTAAATAAGAAAATATTAATATTTAAACTATATGAGCACTAAACCCCTAATCAGGTGTGATAAAATGAGCAGTTGTAACAGCATGTTTGCCCATTATGATGATATACTGCAGTCCTCCAGGGTGTACTTTGTCACCAGTGATTCCCTCCCTGTTCTTGGGGCCAGGACAAAGGTGCCAGAGCATTGCCACTCTTGGGGACAGCACAGGGAGAAATTGTCTTCTCTCAGCCTGGAGTGTCCCCCAAGGCCTCCTGAAGTCAACTGTGCTGCGGTGCAATGTTTTTGTCTGAGACATGAAATTGTGACTCTGTAAATGAGGGCTAATTTTCCTAAGTGTGGTGAAGCAAACAGAGAAACTTGTTGCTCTCATTAATGGTTTAATGGATATATAGCCCACCCTGGAGACAATAAGAAGCAGAAAAGCACTTCTTCTCTGGACTAGGAAATATCACTGGTAGTCAAATAGACTTGGTCTTGACAGCTGTGTCCCAAGCTGTCGGTTTTCTTTTGTCCCATAAGGAAACTCTGGTTAGTCACAAAACTAGATCCAAATGACAATGTCTTGAGGAGAATCTGAAAATAGATTTGGCTTAAAGAGTAACCTCGAGAAAAACATAGCACATTATGCACACAGACATACAGAGCACACAGAATTTGGGGATAAGAAGCAACACCATCTTGGCTTTTTCCCGAGGTTCTGATCTCACTTGAAAAGCAGATTGACTTGATTTCTGCTGCACGTTTGATCTTCTTCCTGGACAGAATCTCTGAGTGGTTTGTATCTTTATTCCTGGAAACTGGAAAGATGAATTGCCCTCAGTGCATGAAATTTGGGGTGTAGTTTGGCAAAGGTCTCCTGGCTGCTTTTACCAGAGAAAAAATGACAGATCACTAGACACCGACCCTTCATGTTGCCTCTCAAATGCTTTGTCCTTCACTCTCAACCCAGAGAGTATGTCTGAGCCTCCAGCAAAGTTACTGAAGGATCACACAGGTCTGGGTTGGTGTTTCATGAATGGATATGGCACCGGTATGCTTATGGAAGTGGGAAGAGGGGTAGAAGATAGGATCTTAAAACATCACGCCCTAAGCTGGGGTGGGAGAGAGAAGTCATGCTGGTTAATGCTATTGGAATAAAGGAAGAGAGGAGTAAATGTTACTTAGAGTTGTGTAACTTTGCACCAGCAATGTGCACGTACCGTGTGCACATACCACACAACCAAATGTATCACCGGGCTCTGGATCCACATCCTTAGATGAGACGACTCCCTGTTTTTCAGAGACATGGCTTGAACAGGAGGTTGAGCTAATCAACCTCCAGAGGTTTCTTTTACCCTAAATCCATCTCTGGCCTTGTCATGTGATGACTTGGCCAAGAAGGTCTGCTGTGACTGCAGCATTTTGGCCCTGTTCTGCTGAACAGGGATTAGGTGCCTTTTTCATCAGCATGCAACAAGCTGAAATCTTCAAGCTTACCCTGTTGTGTGTGGCCCATTGTCTTCCATACTGCTTCTCAGCCACCACCATCTCCTGTGGTAGAGATGTCAGATTTTGACTATAAACACTTCTTGGGGGTGACTCAGACATGACTGCAGTCTCATGCGCAGATGTGACTTATTGAGGCTGTTCTTTCTAACATCACCAGACAGGCTCTTCTGAAGCCTTGTAAAAGCTTCGGTCCCTTGTAAAGCCTGTCACCCTAAGATGGCATTTCTTATAGAAAGACATTGTTCCTATGAATGTTCTCATCATCTGAGTGTCTCAATCCTGCATGGTGGAGATCTCTCAGGGATAAAGACTGGGTCAGCCCTGCAAACCTGTTTCCTGGAGCCCTACTACTAGACTTTATATGCTTATTTCTCTATGTTCGACAGTTTTGCCCAGGTGAATTACTAATGCTTGGAAAGTCTCTTGAAAATGGAAAAGTCTCTGTCAGAGGGAATGAGAAATCATCAAGTCTCAGGGAAGACCTGGGATGGACAGCTGGAAAGCCTGTACATCCATGTACAAATGTTAAAGGCTAGGGGAAAGGAGAGGGAGCGTCCAAGAGAGTTGTTCAGAAAGATAAACCATTGCCTAAAGAGGAAGGCTGGTGTGAACAGTAGGGCATTGATGTACTAATTCATGGACTTGATTTTTCTCTTACGCAGCTCTGAACATCAGAAACAACTGTAGTTGTAGACACATTTGGACACCTGTATGTTGGGGTGAATTTTGTCCAGAACAGATTTGCACCCACCGCCTGCAGTGCTCCTGAATTTTCCTTCTTCCTCTTAGTGCTGGTAGGGAGGGGTCAGGCTTATATCTGTCATGTGCTAGTGACAAGTTGGTCTGGGGTGTCACTTAAGAGTGTCTTTGGCACAGGTAACAGGCCATCCCCTTCCCCCTGCTTCAGTGAAAGGTATTTGCTCTCTGCAAGCCTTTACACCTCATTTCTCCATCTCTAAAGACAGCTTGGCCAGGTTTCAGGCAGAGCTGTGAGATGGCAGCACCTCTGTCCCAAATCTTTTACCCCATTCCAAGGTGAAACTGACTTCAGCATCTAATGAGTCATGTAACTTTCAAGGAATCTCTCTTTTCCCCGATTCATGTTGATTGAACAGTCTCCCTGCACAGAGCACTGACACACTGCTTTGCAGCAGGCGCACTCATTAAGCAGCTTTATTCCTCCAGCAGATCTGACAAAGCAAGGGTTATTTTGGCACTGGTGAGGAAAGGAGGTGGCTTGTTTTTTTTTTTTTTATTTTAAAAAGTAATGTTTTTAACATAATCCTTTTTTTTTTTTTTTTTTTTTGACAACTGATTAAAACAGGTGAAGTGATATGCTCCATGATCCTTTTCATAATACATGTGTTCTTGCTTTGACCCTCTGAGGTTTACAGTGAGAATGTTTATCATTGGTATAATTGTTAACTGCTATAACATTTATGTTATGGCAGCAAAGGGCAGTCAGGGAGGGTCAGAGCACAAGTGTACAGGGAGAGTGGATGTAGCAATGGCCCCACACCCCAAGACTTCAAGAGACCTGGTTCCCTTTCCTCCTCTACCCTTCTGTCCTGGTGACCTTGGTAAGGTCATTTCACTTATCTTTACTCATCATTGTACAATGAGTCTAAAGATGGTGACCTCCTATGTGAAGCAGTTTTGCAGTCTACTGAAAGAAAAATATAATGAGGGGAGTGATATATCATTATTACTAAGTGTAGGCAAGACATATGGTGAAACGGTGGGAGACGTTTTGGGTTGGATTCACTTCTGGATGTCTAAATGTAGTTGTCTGTGTGTGAAATAGATACTTAATTAACAGAGAAGGATCGACACAATTAACAGAGGCCAGAGAGTTGTTAGCTTTTTGAATGCAGTTGTCTGGTTTAGGGTGGGCTTAATCACTCCCCAGACTGTATTTACTAATTCTCCATTGACTCTGATGTGGGCTTAAGCATCTGGTTTACATTGAAATGTTAATATTGCAGACACCTAAACTTAATTTGGAGACAAATCTTCACCCTGGTCCCCTCAGCTTTGCCTTTGCCCATTGCATTTCACTTGTGCACATGTGGCCAAGGATTTGATTCCTTCCTAATAGTGGCATTCTCTTCTCGTTTGAGTTTCTAGCTGTTGATTAGCTTGTTGCTAATGGCTGCTTGCTGGTTGGACCTCTTTGGAGGTCTATCTTCCCTCTGCCATGCAGACAGTGGCTATGCAGGCATCCTCTGAGAGACCTCTGCAGTGGATTGTGCGGACAATGCCCTCTGCAGAAGACCCCTGGGTGAAGAGAGAAGGATGATGGCTGGTCTATCCTTGGAGGTTCCTCACAGTGAAGCCATTCTTGAAATGTTCTTTTTTTGGGAGCTGAGCACTTACTTACTACGACCAAGATAGAGATCTCAGATTTGGCTTCTTAAGCCATTAATAAGTCAGCCTATGCGCAACTGAATTTGTCTTGTGCCAGAGGAATGAAGGATTTCTAAACTGATTTCATGAATCAATTTTTGTCCCATATCAGCTAACTTGTGCTGCAAGGGTGGGTGCTTTTTTTAATCTTATTTTTTTCAACTATATAAAGAACTCCTGGTCCAAAAGACCATCATTTAACACATCCAGGTCTGCAGAAGAGAGACTTTCATAATCTTCTTCAACTCCTGATGCTTTTCTGTTTCTGTTCATTTTTTCAGGAGCTTCCTGGCCCGTTTTAGTTGAATTAACATTGAAAGGATCAAAGACACTCTGATTAAAGCTTTCAGAAGCATCGCTAGTGAACATGTGCATAGGGGAAAAAATGTCGTCCTTTGTAGGGAGATGCTTGTTTGTTGAGCCTTCAGCACTGAGACCCAATCCAAATGTATCTTCTGCAGCCTTTGGAGCTTGGCACTGTGTATCCATCTGTTGCAGCATTGCACAGCTTTGAATCCCTTGCGGGACTCTAATATTAATCTCATCCTGTCCAGAAAGAAGTGAGAGGCTGAAGGTGTCCCAGGGAATTTCTTGGCATAATTCTGAAGGATTTGGATCAAAGTAAGATGGAGTTTCTGCCTCTGACTTTTGCAAGTCTGAATTTGGGTTTTTACTTGCTATGCTGGGAAAATCTTGTCCTCCAGAAAAGAAAAAGTTACTGTCCTCCAGAAAATCCACATTGGCTAACTGAAGCTCAGCTTCCTTGGGTAACTTTTCTGAATTGCCTGGTGAAAAAACCATCCCATCCTCAATCACTGTGTCCTGGATATCCAAACTCCATTGGTTCTGAATTTCTAGTAGATGAGCATCATGATGATTTCCTTCCCTGATGCAATTGTTGCTGTTATCAGCTGCGGACATAAGCTCTGGAGGAGTATGTAGAGAGTTTGTTCTACTTTCCAAGGTTACTGCAGATTCTTTTTGATTTTCCTGTGCTGACATGAGAGACAGCCAACAGCTGTCCTCTTGTTGCTGAACCTGACTATTTAAAGCCAGTTGGTCATG